ATTTTTCAGACAACTGTATGAAAGTACTCGATTGCCATTCACTCCTCCATATGGAGGACTTCCAGTTAAATTTCGCACGTACATAGGGGAGCCAATACCTTATGATCCGAATATAACTACAGATGAATTGGTTGAAAAGGTAAGTTAGCTCTCCTTGCAATAGGTAGGGTTTGCTCCTAGCAGTTTAGGAGGCTGCATGCAAAACTCATACTAAGACTTTAAAAGCCAAGAATAAGCATAAATAGAAGAATGCTATTATGTTTACCTGTATAAGTGAAATTTAAAGTTCCCATGGAACTTGACTTGCTTATCTCAGTCAGGTCTAGTTGACCTCTGTCTGATGTTGCCTTGGAAAGAGCCAGGAAAAGTTTAGTTACCTTTTATTTATATTAGCATGACACACTGCCATCGCTCTGCAGTAGATCACTGTAGTATTTGGCTCTCTTGAGTTTAAATAGTTAAGAAAAACAAGGAGAGATTATTTTCTATCCCTAGCAGAAATACATAATTTGCATTATCTATGAATTTATGCATTCTCATCACAAATTTGCATTTGAACCTTATGTAAATTTTAACAGTGTTTAGTTATTGTCTTACTGCGTGTATGCTGAATATGATAAACTTACAGAAGAATTCATGTTGGGAAGGATGTATGGAGTTCCCAAGCCCGTTTTCAACACTGCCAGCTATGAAATCAGACTAGGTTAGTGAGCCTGGAAGTTGCATAAGTTTAATATCCGTATGTGTAGAGGCTACTTGAACTTAGTAACTCTCAGGTTTCATATGTCTCAGCAATTTGAGCCTAACCAAACTGCAATCAATGTTTTTATTCCTTTCATTTCAAAATAAACCATTGTTAGGATAGCTAACTAATATAAAAGACAACTTTTTTCTTAAATTAGATATATGTGTGAATTTCCCAATACCTCTTAAAACTGACAAGAAGCCAGTGATTGTACTGTTCTTTATCAGTGGGTATGTAAAGGTCAACTTTCTCCTCTCTTTCCAGACAAAGACTGCAGTCCAGGCTCTAATAAAGAAGCACCAAACAATCCCAGGCAGCATATGGAAGGCTTTATTGGACAGATTTGATAAGCATTGTAAAACTGATTAGAATACTTAAGTTTATTTTACTGTTTTTACAGCATGCAGTAAAAGACAGTGTCCTACAGCAGCAATGACTAATTGATGTTTAACCAGTTTAATTTACAAGCTTCTATAATCAACAGAAGAAAACAAAGAACCTCTTGAAGATTCCCCCGTTTAAGCTCTCTTGCTCTTTGAGAATATTCTTGAAGTCAGGAAGAGTGGGCCTTTCAATTAGAAAACTTACATATAATGGGCAATGCAAGTACAAAATTTCCCAAATGGAGATCATGTAGCCAGTTTGTGACAGGTTCCTAAAACAAATATTTACATGCATCCAATGGGCTCAAAAGGTTTGCCTGGTTCTGTGGGTTTTAAGAGTTTTGTTTTTAAGCCAGGTATTAGACTTATACAACACAGCAGCTTAATGGCTCAGTGTCCTTAAAGGTAAGAATCCTGCATCCAACGTTTTGCTCTGATGGAGAGAAGTCTTCTATCCCCTTGGTACAGTGAAGGGAGAGATCCCCTCCCTTTTTAGAAGATGAAAAAATCTGGCTTACTCTGGAGAAGAAATTAACAGTGACAGAAATTCCTGATTCAGATTCTAACTACAGTTTGATGAAAAAATTAAAGTTTTATACTCTCAAATCGGGGAAAAAAGAGCTTCAATTAAGTGTAGTGCTATGCAAATACACGTAGTAGTACTTTCAAGTCTGTGTTGGTACATTCATGCACTATTGCACCATGCAGTCCGGATACAGTGCTGCTTGGAAAGTGGATGTGCCAGCAGTGTCATTTTCCTAATACAGCTTTCAGAATACTGAATCTTGTTGTAAAACAGAATGTGCTTTTACAAGCTAGGGGATGTTACTATTGTTGGGAGTGGGAGAGCTTTGTGTAATTCATTAAAATTAATTCATTAAAAGCAACAAAGTCTGTTAACTTTGGACATGAAGGAAGGTCATTTTTTGTGCCTCAGTATTTTTTTCTTGTGCTTTTAATACCTACATAATCTTTTCCCTCAACATCCTAAAATTTTATGTAGCATCTAAGAAAATGCCTACTGTCATTAGAAATCTAAATGTACTCTTTGGATTAAAATAAACTTCTCCTCTTCCTGTATTCCTTCTCCATAAATATTTCTTGCACATCAGAAGAAGGGAGCAGAATGGACAGATGAGCATACCTTGAAGAATTTTTTTCCCTTAAGAAAAAAGAAAATAATCTTGTCCTGAAAAAAACTCAGATCTGTTCAAAGACAAGACTGTTTACTTGAACAGCTTAACTATAATTGCAGTATGCAAGCAGAAGGATTTTTCTCTCAGCAGAGACAAAACTCGAGCAAATTGAGATGCTGACTAGTATGCCTGGACATGAATAGGAATTCAGACCATTAAGTCTCATGTAACTTACACCAACAATGTAAGCTAAAATTCAAAGCCTCAGCTTAACGTAAATGAGAAAAGCAACTAAAAGAAAGGGCAAATACTAAAATGAATACAGATGATGAAGCAATAGTAATGAGGAGTAAGTGGATCTGAAAGCATTCCTTGTGTCACAGAAACTTCGCAGAAGGATGAGACAGCATCATGCTCTGACTGTCATATTCCATTCTCCAAGCACGTTAGCACTATCAGTTGATACATTTCCCTCACCTGTATTTTGGATGTTACACAACCTTTCAGACTCCACGTGCACGGGTACCTGACAGTGCTGCAACTTGGAATAAAGCACTACTAGCCTTGGAGAGAGGATATGTGATCCAAAACAGCGGTTATCTTTCAAAGAAGGGATTTGAGTCTGGATCTTCTATATCAGACAGCTCTGAACAGTTGTTCAGAAAGGCTTTTCTGGGCCTCTTCATCTTATAACTGCATCCCAATATTATTGGTGTCTGATCTGAAGTGTGTGAAACTGAATTTCTATAGGTTTTCTTCTAACACAGTTGTCTTGAGAGTATTTACTGGGTTCTCAAGGTGATGGACATGACAAATATGTCATTTAGAGATGTAAATGGTTTTGAATAAAGAACAAGACACTGATTTTTATCATATGAAAACAGAATTTAAACCATTTTTCCTCAGAAATATGTTAGAATACCTCACAGGAAAGAATTCTAATATAGAACTGCACTAATGTAGAAACTAGAACTTGAAGCTGATATTATAGAAACTAGCAGTAACAGGAGCTTCTTTTCATACAATTTAATTGCCTATCAAATTACTTCTCTACAATGCAAATTACCTTGTCTGTAATACATTAAAAAGAAAAATAGTAAATGCAGGTGACCTCTGCTTGCTTTAAAACCTAAGACATATTTATGACACGTTTGCTATAGTTTGCTTAATAAACCATGCAAGGAAATCCTGTTTGTTAACATTTTGTGCTTAATCTACAAGATGCTACACTGGGGACAAACATAATACTGAAACCCTGAAAAAAAATATTTGACAATAAAGTTACAAAAATGCACAACTGCAGAACCCCAGCTCAGAATTCCAATAAATTATGTACATGTAAAAGGCGGTCAAAAAAGCATGACAAAAATCTGCAGTTTGCAGCCAAATGATATTACCTAAGGTTGATGCCAAACAGTGCAGTTTTGAAAATTATTAAATTTCAGTCCAGCTGGTACAGTAGCTAAATGAGCATGTATGTCTGGAACCAAGCCTGGTGTAACTTCAATATCCCCTTATTTGTTAGATTTATTTGTGTTTTTGTCTTTTTTTTTAAAACATGCAAGTTAGATCCAGAAATCATATCCAAGGCTGCAAGACACTGAGGTCTTTGTTAACGATGCTGAAAACATCATGTCCAAAATGCAGAGTTTCAGGAATACTAAATTCAGTCAGATACTGCACAGAGTGACTTTAGAAGCAGAGTATCAGAACTAAAGCTGCTGGACTCCAGCTATGCTTCAAGCCAAAGCTATGTCATGGATATACGGTTGGACTGCACTATGTAAGACTATGGTTTGAATTCCTACTCCTGTCCTGGCATATCACGTAGCAGGCATACATTAAATATATATATATTTATTTTCTCCTGGTTCATTTTGGACATTACAATGGGTACCTGTGGGGACTTCTTTGCTTTTGGGTAGTTGACCCCAAGGGACCATGAAGGCTGTGTCATCTGAAGGGGTTTTCATAGAGAAACACTGTCTCCAAGTGTTGGTGGGGAGACGCAGCTCTGCATCTCGAGCACTGCGTCCAGGCCTGGGGCTCCCAGCATAAGAAAGATGTGGAGCTGTTGCAGCAGGTCCACAGGAGGGCCATGAAGATGATCAGAGGGCTGGAGCACCTCTCTTATGAAGACAGGCTGAAGGAGCTGGGCTTGTTCAGTCTGGAGAAGGCTCCAGGGAGATCTCATTGTGACCTTCCAGTATTGAGGGGAGTTTATGAACAGGAGAGAAGCCGACAAAAGCCAAGGTACTGCGGTGTAATGAAGGAAACATCACAAACTTGAGACAATGACAATGACACCACAGAGGACTCAATTTTGCAAACCGCAATGAGACACGAAGCCCCACAGCAGGTCGCCGGAGGTCCAGTTCCTCCCGCTGGCTTACAAAGCTCAGAAGCAAAGACACAAAGCGAGGCGACACAGCTCGGCGCCAGCGCAGCACCGCCAGCGCAGCGCCGCAACCACAGCCACACGCACGGCGCACACGCGACGCAGGGCCGATAACCCACCCGGGCTGGAGATCACGGCGCCCCCTGGCGGTGGCGGCGGCCTCCCCGCCGGAAGCGCGGCGTGTTGCAGCCGGACAGCGGTCCGGGCGGCTCCCGCCTCCCCGGCGGCGCGGAGTTCCTCCCTTTTCGCCTCCCGCCGCCTTCGTTATCTCCTCGCCCCCGCACCCGCCGGGGGCGCGGTGCCCCTCCCGTCTCCGCCCCGCGGGGAGCCGCCCCAGCCTGGCTGCCCAGCGGGCATCCGGCCTCCGCGGAGGCGGTGGGCGAAGGAGTAAAAGCGGGCCCCGAGAGTGACCGGGGGTTGGAGCCGGAGCCGCGGCCGCTGGGGGAAGGTGAGCGGCGGTTGCGGGGCCGGGCCGTGTGGTGTGAAGGGTGCGGCCCGGGGCAACTCCAGCCGCCGCCGTGCATCGAAGGGGGCTGGGAGCGGCTGGGCGAGCAGGCGAGAAGTGGTCGCTCTGGCTGCTGAGCGCGGTTCCTGCAGTTTCTTTTGGGAGAAAACGTGATCCTCCTCCGACTCTCTGCTGAAGGAGTCGCTGATGGGGCTGCCGCCGCCATGAGAAGCGAGGCCACTTCGTGTTTCCAAGCAAGAACAAAAAGCCCTGCTAAATTCCAGCGTCCTTTTAGATCGCGGGTGCCGTTAGCAGCGTTTCTGGCTTTTTATGTTGCTGCTGTTGTTTTTTACGGCGGCTTTGCTCGCTCTGGTGCAGATGCTCCCCGCGAGTGGCTGGCGGGGCAGGAGGCAGCGTTAACAGGGGCTTGTCTGAGTGAGACCCTAGGAGTCAATGAAAAGAACCGCGTGTTAGCCTGGTCTGTAAGCGTAAGTCTATGTGCTGTAGTGTTGGTCAGAGGAGATGTGCCTCTCTCATCTAGTGAGAATCCATAAGCAGCTCTATTAAGAAGTTATCACTGAAATTAGGTGTTTGGCTCACACTGCTTGGCAGGAAACCTGTTATGAATGTCAGCTAACGCAAGGCCTTTAAGGGTATGATTGTATTACAGAAAGGTTCTGCTGCTGATTTGGCAGAGGCTGGGGCTTTGTAGTACAGCACCCCACTGCGTTCTTGCATTTGGGTGGTGACAGCTGTCAGAGCACATCAGACTAGGACGGCAGGTTGAGCTGTTTGCTTCCAGGAGGACCTAATCAGAGGATGTCGCTGGTGATTCAAGAAAGCAGCGTACTTGATTTTGTAATTTTAACTGGGCTGACTCTAGGCAGTTCTAAAGTGGGACAGACCAAAATGATTCCATCAGTAGCGCATAAGAACTACCTTGGGCTTTTATTCATGATGGCCATGCCTGTACTTTGAGCGATGTGGTGGTGCCAACCATCCCTTTTTCAGCGCCAGTACCTCTGGTAAAGTGTTAGGTGTAACAATAACATAACGCTTAGGCTGGATACAGAGTATTCCTATGGAGCTCAGAACATATGCTGGACTTGTTATGGGAAGAGCAAGTTTACAGCCGGGAGGAGACCTTTGTCTGTTAAATGCTAAGTCAAGTAGCAGGGGGGATGGCTGTCCGCATGCTGTGCTATGTGAGCAAGGCTGTGGCATTAGATCAGGGAAGTGTTTGCTGCCTCTTTTCATCACTCACAATACCACGCATCCAGTTTAGAGCCCTACTGCGCAAGAAAGGGGCTGGCAGCCTGGAGGAGGTCCAGAGAAGGGCCAGCAGCGGTGCTGGGTGTCACATCAGATGGTGTCTGTGGAGAGGTGGAGGGAGCTGCCTTCATTTAGCTTACAGAACTTAAGGGAGATCTTGCTGCTCTTCATAATGAATAGTTATTGTTGGGGCTAGATGCTTTTCAGCCGAGAGACACAAGGCAACAGGTACAAATTGCAGCGAGGGAAATTCTGACTAGAATAAAGAAAAGCATTTTCACTATGAGGGTGATCAAGTGCTGGATTGGTGGCTGGAGGGATCTCTGTCTTTGAAGGTGTTACAGACTGGACTGGACATGACCCTGAGCAACCTAATCTAACTCACTGGCAGACAAATGTTGGGTTAGCCCAGGGATTCTTTCCAATCTAAATGATTTTGTGATCCTTTCAGGATTAGGAAGCAGGGTTTTCAGAGTAGGATTCACTGTCCCTAAGGGAAAGAAGTACAATAGATACTACCTACGTGTTTGACAACAAATGATTTTTATTTGTGCTACTAGTTAGTGCATACATTTGCAAGCAAACTTATAAAACTGCAGCGATTGCGTTTGAAGTATTGCATCTAACATTGCATGCAGAAAGCCAAGTCATGTTTTGCAAGGCTGGCATATGTGGACAGGACTTCAAACTTTCTCGATGAGGACTTGGTATTTGGAGAAAGCTGCAAACGATTAAAAGTAATAGGAAGGAATGCATAGCTTTGAATTATATTTCAAGATGTATGATCACCTCTGAGTTTTAAAAAGGTGTTTCTGTGGCAGAATTAATTTCTCCATCTTGTTTTCTAGCTAATAGGTGGGATGCTGGGGGAAGTCCATAACAATCTGGCAAACATCACAGCATTGAATCTTACTCTTCAGTACTGCTAGGTCTCACAAGTTGTATTTCTTGCACTTGGCTGTGTTTGCTGCTGCCAGGTTCTGGAGTTCATATCTGACAACTGGAATGAGAACTGTATAAGCCTGGGTTGATGGAACAGGCATGGATCGTGTGATCCAAATCCTTTTATTTTTTTTTTTCTTAAATAAGGAGTTTTCTTGAGCAATGTGGGTAGAGGCAAATTTCAAAATGGAAGGAGAAGGAACATCCTTGCTATATCAAAATAGGTGAAGGAAATGAGATTGGGAAGTAAATGAGATGATTTCTGCTTCTGTATCTCTTTAATGTGAAAGAAAATTGATCTGATTCTTTGTAGTTGTTGATATTGAAATTCTGATAGATTTAGTCTAATGATCTCTCATCAGTCACTTGGTGCTTTCAAAACAGAGCAAGAACAAAGGAGTGAAGGATACACACATCTCTGTGCATAGGAACTCTGCAGTCGTACATTGTATGTCACATTGTAATATGAAAATAAACTTGGTTTTTTTTTCAGAAGTGACTGTTTTTAATCTCTCTAACAAGTCTGCATTATAGTTGCAAAATGCTTTTCTTCTTTGACCTGATTAGCAGTTACTCCAGGTTTTGACCAAAACTTTACTAGGCTCAGAAGATTTTTTTTTTGTTTTTGTTCCAAGGTGTTACTCCTTTTGTTGTGGAACTCCAGCTAAGGTATAGCCAAGCATACAGCTTGTCTTGGCTTTGTGAGATGAAGTGATTACAAAGTAGAACCAGAACCATGGAATATCAGCCCAGAGAGATGTATCTCAAAAACTGCCATGGGAGAAGAAGGCTCTTATGCATAGACAGAATTAAACCAGAGACCTTAATGCTTTTAGAGAACTTTTTTTGATTCATCTTCTTCCTCCTTTATGCTGCCTCTCTGCATTGTGCTGTGGGACTTGTATTTCACTCTCTGTCCACGTACAAGTGCATTTGAAGGTCTCTATATGAGTGTGGCCACGCTCTTACTGAGTCATGTCTGCTGTTAGTGGAAGTGTTTGGTGTTGTTTGTCTTTTTTTTTTAGTAGCACTCAATTTGAGATTGTACTGATTCCTGTGTGGCAAATGGTATATGAATCAGATAGTTTGTTGTGTGATTAAACACAAAAAAATTGTCTGTTTTCTTTAAAGATTTATTCATTTTCTTCTTTTCTTTTAGATAAACAGAAGATGATAGGGAGCAATGAATCCTCTACTGAAGGACCAGTGCCTACATCCTACTTAACCTTCCTGGCTTATTTACTGGGAGAATGGACTGGTATAGAACACACTGAAACTTATCTGAGTTATGGAGTCTACCTTTCATGGGTGCTTTTTCCACTTGCAATAGCTTTTATACTTCCAATAGCTATCTTCTTCTTCTGCCTCAACACTTCCCTTCTCCTTCTTCATATTCATAAAAGGAGGAAGAATGGATTTAATGAAGGACATTCTGGTGATGTTTGGTATGGTGCAAAAGAAATGTTGGCTAACCTGTGGGATGGACATGGGAGAATATGGCATGGTAAGCAAAATCTGATTTCTCTCTAAAAAGCACTGACTCTCAGTTTATGGCTTTGTCTGTGAAGATTATCAGTTTAAATTAAATTGCTATTGCTGTTTATTGACTGCCAGTAGTTCTTCAACTTTGTGGGCCTGGGAAAGGAAAGAAAGAATTGAGACTCTTTTGGTTGTACAGTTTTGTCTTATGCTTTTATTCCTTTGCTGCTACTGCTTTCATTTAGCCAAATAAATGCAATTTAAAAAAAATAATCTTTTTAACTGTTAATAACTGCTCTTGGATTTTCTTTTTCCACGAGGACCTGAAGTGATAGCTACGTTAAAACTTAATTCCCTGTGTCTCAGGAATTATTTAGCAAGCAAGCAAAAAAAAAAAAAAAAAAAAAGATTCAATATGTAAACACTGAGAGCTAAATACCAGTTCCCTAATAGCTAATATCTCTACATTTGTTTGTGTAATTTAGCTGCATGTAACTGACATCGTGCCAAATGTTGTCTGAAAGGGGCACTTGGTGTCAATTTGCTCTCTAGTTACCACTTCAACACTTTTGGGCTCTCAAGTCAATTCACAGAGGCCTACTTTTTGTATTTTCTTTCTATGTATTTTTGACAACTACTTTCTCTAGTAGAAGAACGTCAAAACTAAGGGCTCTGCTCCTTGTCCCTCTGCTGCTATATCTTTTCTGAAGATAGACTTAATAAATGATTTGGCTTCTTTCTAAGGAAATCATAAGCTTCTTTCAGAACCGTTCATTCTAGATGCAGCTAAAGGAGAAAGAGATGTTTAAGAGCAATTTACATAAAGAACAAATCCATCTTGAAAATCATCTCTATTTGTTCCCCAGTCAAAGGGATGAGGGTTGTCAAGGCATTTATAACCAGATGGTGCAGCGGCTGTATCAGATTGGCTTTGTAAGACTAAGATTTAACTTTTGAATCTGAGAAAGTACACTAGATCAAAATCAACAGCTACATCAAAGAGCTTAAAATTCTCACTTCATAATGAAAAGCTATTTACTTTTCTCATATGATTTTTTTTTTAAGGCCTTGGCTTTTTTCATCCATAGTAACTTTTTCTCTCTTATAAGGTCTGACTTTTTATTTCACAGAAAAGATTTTTATCCAGTCCCTCATCTACTATTATGACTTTTCTTTCTGCCCTGTCAACTGCTTCCACTTCTTTTAGTAAATTATGAAATGCTCTGTGATTTTTTTCTTTTTTATTTTTTTTTTTTCCCACTTGGTTAATCAGCATGTTGCAGGAAGAACTTCCTGAAATCTCAAAACACTGAAGGTGGGGTGGGGGAGGGAACCCCAAACAAAAGCCCAACCTTGTATGTGATACCTGTAATTTTATTATGCAAATGCTAGCCACAGCTATTACTCCGGTTATGCTCAGATAGCATGGAGCACAGTTAGTGGTCGCCTACAGATGGTTGGTAGATGTATATCTGTAATAGGCATTGAAAATAGAACAGTGGGAGAGAAGCCAAAAGTACAGACAGAAGTTTAAAAAGGGGGGGGGGAGGAGGTGGGAGGCAGGGAGAAGGATTTTCACACCTGATTACTTCAGAAGGAATGAGATTTAGAGAAGAGCAACAATACTGTAACAGAACTGTTCAGTGTAAACTAAATGTATAAGTAAATGTGTTCTGAGCTGGTCCATTTTATTGTTTTGTGCTAGCTGAATATTCTTTTCAGCGTTAACTAAATGAGAAACGTAAGTTCAACGCTTGTATGGGTTCATGTGTGTTTCAGTTAGGCATATAAACCCCCAAAGAGCTTTTAGTGCTCAGTGATGGAAAAGTAGTCTAAGTATAACTCTGAGAGAGATAACAAAGATGAGTCTCAGAACTTGGGATTAAAAAAGACACGTAAATGGGTGTTGTCATGTTAAACTGCCATTAACAGTTGCTTGCAGCAATGAACTTGATTTTGAAAGATAGGTAGCAGCTTGCCACAGTAGTGTTTCAACACTCCTATTCAGTCCTTATTTTGATTTATCTTGAATGATTGATTCAGAGAACTGCAGCCTTGAAGGCAGTGAACTGAAAAAATAAGATAAAATTATGCAATAGTTGAAGAGAGCGAGGCTGTTAGTTCTGTTGTTTTCATTCTCTCTTTAAATAGAGCTTCAAATAAGGCTTGTAAACATGAAGCTGTGAAAGCAACTTAGTAAATGCTGCAAGACAGCTCTTGACATTTTAGCAGTCACTTTGCTCTAACACTTTTCAGTAGATACTGGTTTCAACTTGCCAACTTAATGCAAATTAGTTTATGTAGGATAGAATTGTATCGTACTTTGATATCCTTTATGCCTTTAACTTCTAACAGGTTATGAACTTCATGGGGATGAAAATATTCCAGAAGGACCAGCACTTATTGTGTTTTATCATGGAGCTAGTCCTGTTGACTATCTCTATTTCATGGCTAGACTTCTTATACGAAGGAAGAGATATTGCCACGTAGTAGCGGATCATTTCGTCTTTAGATTACCAGGTAATGTACTTCAGTATAAACCATCAGTCTGAGAGTTCTTTAAACTTTTTTTTTTTTTTTTTTTTTTTTTAAAGATTGAAGTTATTAAAATTCATTGTACAAAGCTTACAGAACAAACTTTCAGGCAAATATTGTTAGTCTGTTGGAACAACTGTTCTTAGTAAAGAGTGTGTTCTTATCAAACAAGAACAAGTTTATGCAACTGGCATCTCCTGCAACTGCAGAGATGGTTTGCACTCCAATCTGGGCAACACTTTTAATAACTTTAGAGTGTTCAGAAGCAAAGAGAAGGAGATAATGGGAGAAAGACTTGTCTCTGTGTTATTCAGTAGCCAATACTCCATAATATGTCTATTAATATTTAGGCATGATTGTTAATTAAAGGTGAGTTGGAGTGTACTCTCAGTTGACACTGTGAGGTTAGAACTAGTATTCAGAGTGACTTCCCAGAAAGGAACTGGTAGAAACATCACGAAGTTCAGCAAAAGCAAATATGAAGCTTTGAATTTTGGATGAAGTAATCCCACGTGACAGGACAGATGGGAGCCTGGGTAGAAAGTAACTGTCAGAAAGGACTTCAGCATTCTAGTGGACAACAAAGTGAACATGATCATCCTTGTTGCAAAGGCACAGTGTGAACTCGACTATGTGCTGGCCTTTTTCAGCCTGAGTGTAGCCAACAGGTTAAAAGGAGTGATTCTTTCTCTTGATTTGGCACCTGTGAGAGCACATCCAATGGTACTGTGTCCTGTTTTGTACTTCCCAGTTGTACTTCCCAGGGATATTGTCTGGAGGCTGAAGCACACACTGTTTATTTGGTCTATAACAAATAAAGGTGGAGGAAGATACTACTGCTGTCTTTGATTACTTAACTGTGATGTGCAGAGAAGATGGGGTCTGACTCTTCTTTAAGGTAATCAAAAATAGGATGATAGGAAACAGAGGCAAGCTGCAGTTCCTAAACTGTAGCTGGGGAAAATCTGTAGGGATGGAAATTCAAAACTGCTGACTGAGGCCCTGAATAGGTTGGTCCAGTTGGACAGCTTGGAAGGGTGTTCAGGGAGGATAAGCCCAAGGGGCCCAGGTAATTGATTCGGATTGTCTTGAAGTCTGCACAATAATCTGTGGCTGGCAGCCTAGATAGATAGGGCTTCTTTTGTGAATCAAAGCAAAAAGATGGCCATCCTTTTGTACTGGTACTTAGACTTTCTGATCTTGAAGCTTCAGATAGAATGGATGCCTTTCCAGAAGATGTTTTAATTAACCAAAATTTGCTAGACTTGATCTAAGAGAAATGGAGGGAAAGGATACTTGGATTAGACGATGTAATGATCATTCTGTTGTTAATATTCATAAATATGCTATGAATAGCTCTGAGGGAGTAGCTTGCCCCATGAACCTGAATCTCATATGTGCCAGTTTGCAGATGTTAATATGGAGTCTCACTGCCTCCTCCTCATCAGGCACTTTTGTACCAATTTAACTGTGATTAACTGGATTGTATTTGTAGCATGTTGCTGTGCCTCTTGAGGGATGCATGGGCCTATAAGGGGTCAAAGAAGCTTAAGTCTTGACAGATACAGCTTGATAACTTATGTAGGGGAATTTAAACTAATAGAAAAAACTCTTGTAGATACCTGGAATTTCCTGTTGAACACTGGAGTTAAATCCAGCTGACAGGTGGTCGTGAGTGGCGTTTCCAGATGTTGGTACTAGGGCCTGTCCTGTTCAGTATCTTTATTGATGACCTGGGATTGAGTGCACCCTCAGTAAGTTTGCATGTGACACTGGGTTGAGAGGAAGTATAGATCTGAGGATAGGAAGGCCCTTCGGATGGATCTGGATAGGCTGGATAGCTGGGCTGAGGCCAATGGGATGAAGTTCAGAACCCAGCACTTGGTCTTGTTGCACTTTTACCACAACAACCTCATGCAGTATCTTGGACTCTTCTTTGGTGTGTGTGTGCATACATAATCATTCCTCTGTACTCAGCACTGGTGAAGCCGTACCTCGAGTACTGTGTTCAGTTTTGGGCCCCTCACTATAAGAAAGACATTGAGGCCCTGGGATGTGTCCAGAGAAGGGCAACGAAACTGCTGGGGGATCTGGAGCACAAGTCCTATGTGGAGCAGCTGAGGGAGCTGGGATTGTTTAGTCTGGAGAAGAGGAGGCTTGGAGGAGACCTCACTGTACTCTGCAACTTCCTGAAGGGAGGTTGTGGTGAGGAGGAGTTTGGCCTCTTCTCCCAGGCAACAAACAGGACCTGGGGAAATGGCTGCAAGTTGTACCAGAGGAGGTTTAGGTTAGACATAAGGAAGAACTTTTTCTCTCAGAGTGGTCAGGCACTGGAATGGCTGCCCAGGGAGGTGGTGGAGTTACTGTTCCTGGCAGTGTTCAAGAGGTGTCTGGATGAGGAGCTGCAAGATATGGGTTAGTGCTTGTGGTAGCGATGGTAATGGGAGGACAGTTGGACTAGATGATCTTGGGGTTGCTTCCGACCTTGTGATTCTGTGATTCTAGATAACAAATGTGTGTTCATAATAATAAATACTCGTTTGTTAAACTGAGGGTAAAAACACCTGATGATCTGTTTTTGAGATTTAAACTTGGCTAGATCAGTTCTGTACCTTTGTTTGTGGCTGACTGAGTTAATTTTGGGCTCTGTGGGAAACTTTAAGAAAGAGAAGTAATCTTTCTCATGTTGCTCAGTGACCTGAAGTTCCCATTTCAGTATGCAGTGTGCACAAATACTACATAAGTTTAAAATACATTAAAATAAACATAATTGGTTTCTTTCTTGCACCTTTTCTTCATTATACTAGCTGCCTAAATTGAGCTAATTGTCCAAACGTGTCTGTCTGATACCTGTAAGCAATTTTTGCTGTTCTGTTGCTCCTTGACGAGTGGAGTAAGTACGACATCTCACATTTAAGATATGAGTTTATGTAACTTTGCAGTTTTAAACTTCAGTAAATGTGAGCTCTTCATCTAATTGCATATGTGCAATTCAGGATCCCCAGGTTCCTCTGTGTAGTGAAAGGCCACCTGGATGCTCACAGACTGAGCTGCAGCAATCTGGAACACAGAGAAAGCTATGTTTCATTTATCATTCTCCTTGTGCACAGACTGCTCCTTGTGTGCTAAAGTAAACAAAACAAAAAAACTCATAATTTGCTGATGTTTTCTTTTATTGAACTTTATTATGAGTGCATCACATTGCTTGAAAAGTAAAGCTTGGGCAAAGAGAAGGTACACCACAGAAAACAACTCTGAATGTGGCATACAGTACTTGACTGTTTTTTTTTTTTTTTTTTTTCCAGTGTTTTACTGATTTATTTTTTTTTTTTTTTTTTAAATTTTGAGGTAGCATCTGATTTCATGACAGAAAACCTAAATTTTCAACTTCTTAAATTGAAATTTACAAGCATAACTTTGTGTGAGTCCTTCTAGAAATATCTTTGATTTGGGATATTATGCTATTAGACTAGTTTTAGCCACTGTGTTCTGTCTTGGGAATTTGTACTCAATGGTAGTATGAATTAACATTTTCTGTATTAATGTTGATTTTACCCTGCAGGTTTAAAAACGTTTATTGAAGTACTTGGCATTATGCATGGACCAAAAGAAGTATGTGTCAGTGCTCTGAAGAAAGGCTATCTGTTAGCTATTTCTCCAGGCGGACTTCGGGAAGCACTCTTTAGTGATGAAACATATCCTATTATGTGGGGTAATCGAAAGGGCTTTGCCCAGGTGGCCATTGATGCAAAAGTGGTAAGTATGAAGTATCATGGAAGAGAAGCAAAAAATGCTAACTTCTTGTGGTTCTTTCTTCTAGGGGAAGCTGTTTTGATTATCAAATATTTGGTGTTAGATTGCTGAGTGACATGAATGCAATCTACTTGCTTTTGTAACTAAATTTCATGGCTTGTCCCATTTGACAAGAATGTTGTGGAGTCATCTAAGAATACTGTGGTTAAGAAATCCGGAGTTAAAAAGAGTAAGAGGTGAAATCGAGGACAGTTTCTAGATTATGAACTTGTTTTATGCCTGCCTGGTTGGGGTTGTTCCAGCTCAGCCTCTTACCAGAATAACTGGAAAGCAGCCACACATTGCACTTCTATTTCTCCCACTGTTGAAATAGGCTGTAAATCAGCAGACCTGCCTCTGCTGTTGTTGTACTCATACGAGAAGCACTGGTGTTATGTACTGCATTGGTATTTTTGTGCTAGTGAGGGATCTTTAGGGCAAACAGCAGCAACAAAAGATGCTGCTTATTAGTGTGAACTGTTTCCTCTTCAGTTCTTTTTCATATAAAGCACTGTCTATGATCACTAGGCATGATTATTTGTATGGGACCAACTATGGAGTGCACATAAACACATAATATATTTGAATTGCAGCTGTTTCAATAATACTTTTCATTCTCTCTCATTCTATATTTATACTTGAAAGATATATGCATATGTCCGCAGGTCTGCAAATACCTCATTTAAAGTGGTATCACTCCACAGGTTTTGTGCTTAAACACTGCCAAAGACAGACTGCTTAAATCTCTGGATTTTATACCCAAGTAGAATATTTTTAAGACCTAATTTTAAATGGGTTTCGCTTTTAACCAGGGGGAATGTAACGCATTTTAAGCAGGATACTTTCAACAGATTCAGAATTTTTGTAATGCTTTGTAATAGCATACGAAACTCCATACCATAATCTAGCAAATTCAACTATGCTTGTACTGCTTATAGTTATTTAACTGAATGTACGCTCAGTTTCCTTTCTGCACTCATAAAGATCACGCAGCTTCAGTTTCCCCCACTTCATAGAGATGCAGAATAGTATTGGAGGTAGAATGAAATTGATGAGAAAAAAAAAATCTGTATTTAGATTGAAGGGGAACTTTAAGTCACCTTTAATCACGAGTATAACTATTCGTGGAAAGAAAAATGTCTGAAAATCAGTACTGGGATCTTCAACTTCCTCAGATTGTCTAATTTCAGCAGTTTGTTTACCAGAAATATTGTCATCTAAACCAATTTCTAAGTAAGATGTTTTAAAGATGATGGTTCTGGAATAAGGAATTTTATTACCATTTGGTTTAGGCAGCTGCACTTTTTTAATTCTCTACAGCTGCACTGGATTATTTACAAACTTTTTTTTTAGCATCTTGATGCCTGTATGAAAAATCTCATTTCTGTATGTTTTTATTAAAAAAAAAGCTTAAAAGAGTGTGGATGCATGAAAATCTTAGCATTCTACGTTTTGATCATTTGTTATAAATTGATTTTGAAAAAAAAAAAATACATGTAGTATAACCTTCCCCTCGTCACCTCGTTCTTGCAATTCCTGACAGCTGTTTGCAAGTTCAAAAACAGTAATAAAATCTGGAAATAATGACACTGTTCCAAATGTTCATCAGCAGAAATGAATCATGAGCCTGTACAGAATATGAGACATCATGTGCAAAGCAATAGTCAGCGCAGTAGAGATGAATCAGACAAGTTTAGGGTCCCAGGCTTGTGAGTTCTTTAAGCATAACTATAAATTAGGCAGTCATCTAACCACTGGATTCACAAATGTGCAAGTACTTCTAGACAAGAGGAGGCTTAAGTACTCCATAAGTTCTGAAGTCCTGTACTGCTTTAAGAATATGGACATGCTGAAACCTTGCAGTGTTCTCCAGGCTGAAACTTCATGGCAGAAGGTGGCAAAAGAACTTAATGAATCCTTGTTTTGCTCTCTGTATGTCCTTGTCTGACAAACACTTGAAATTAATTTGTGTGTTGGGTTTAAGTGAGGTAGCAGTTTTCTAGATAGTGTTATCTTCATTAAATTCTTAATATGTTTTTTCCCTCCTAGCCCATCATTCCTATGTTTACACAAAATGTTCGAGAAGGCATTAGGACATTAGGAGGAATAAGTAAGATATTTTACATATATTTTTTGTAGTTTATTTTTCCATATGTGTTTAGCCTATCTTTGTAGAAATAATCCCATATAGATTTGAGAATTGACAAAGCCTTATATCTTGAGGTTTACTTGCTAATGCAATGCAGGGACGTGACTAGGATTCAGTGTCAGCATTAAGTGTGGTATTAGCTCATCTCAGTCACTCTCAATGTGGCAATGTGCTTTCCCAAAGAAGTAGAAGAAAGGAAAAAAAGTAGCCAGAAAAAGGCAGATAGGTTTAAAATATTGTTTTGCTCTGCTGATAAATGCTAGACATACTCTTAAGTTTTCTGCTGTTCAGAAGCAACGGTTTGCAGTTGACATTTCCTTTAAATAACCTGTTAAAGCTCTGTGCTTACACTTAAACTTGGTAACGTTTGAAACCTATTTCATCCATAGTTGTTATATAGTGCACCACTAAGTCTGTAGTTCTGTACCAACTCAGGTTTGCTTGCTCCTTCCTCATCCTTTTTGGAAGTTCTTGTACACTAATAGATGGGTATATATAGATGTCTGAAGAGCCCACCTTTGGAATGATTATGTCTGCATCTCTGCTGATCTGACAGTGCTAGCTCTTCCCTTGCCCCCATTCTATTTTGTCTATGTGTGTCTTCCAGCTTGCTATCAGGAAAAGCCTGAATAGTCTCCTCCATACTGCATGTTCTGTTTCAAATTATGCCATCATCATTTTCATCACAGATCTGCAGGACAAAACAATTCCATTTCTCATCCTCTCTAATTAAAAGCTGAATACTGGATGGAGAAAGCTCAGACATCAAATACAGTCATGCAGAATGATTCACACGTTCTTTATGATGTTCTACAAAAATTAAGAGCATTGTTACTGTTTTCAGAATAATTTTTCCAAACTGGAAGAGGCTTAAGCCAGAAAGATAGATGCTACTTTTATTCTATAGCACGGGTGCTAGAGGAATTTACTTCTGTTGATTGCTGGAGACACTACTTTAATTTCAATAGTTTTGGAATATTCTTTTTTTTTTTTTTTTTTTTTTTTTTTTTTTTTTTTTTTTTTT